TATACCTCAATAAAACTGGAGGGGAAAGAAGCAACACAGGTAAAAGATATTAACTTGCTGATGAGGAAACCAGGAAGATGATACAGCTAGTTCAAAGAGCATTTTGAGGAACTACTAGGTATTTATAGATATTTCAAGAGGAATGTTAGAATAAGGTGGCTAGATTATATACAAAACTGGTTACTGTCCAATAAGGCAATAAAAATCGTGTCTTGAGGTTATCTTTTTTCCAGGCATAGTTTTATTTGCATCACTAGCAGGCAAAATCTCTAACCTAATATACTATCTCACAATCAGAATCCTTAATTAACAGTTAAATGAAGTTACATATTCTGGGTGCAGACCCACACACTGCTCATCAAGCCATACTGTGGCGGCGTCCCACATACAAAATAGAGGACGATGGGCACAGATGTTAGCTCAGGGACAATCTTCCTCACGTACACACACAAAAAAATACATTTCCCTAGATAACTAAATAATCCTTTGGTGGGCTTGGTAAACAGCGTGTCAGTATGACATCAGAATACGTGCAATATAATCTCTTGGTTTCATTTCCAAGTTTTTGAGGGAACAAAATAAACAAAAGATAACCAGTTCTGAAATAAAGTTTCTAACTATAAATATGAGCATTCTAGATATTGGTGCTTTTCCATTTTAAATATTTAAACCTTCTCCTATGTTGAAATGTTCAGCTCCTAAGCTTACAGCTATCAGTTTTTTAAATAAAATTGTTCTTTCAACTTCATTTAACTCTCAATTGATAAGGGATTTCAATTGGTAAGGGAAAACAATGCTGAAGTTTGATAAGGTCATTCTTCTGGTTCTCATGTTTTCCTTCTGAGCTTCACCTTTTAAAATGTTTAATTATTTCAATTTACTAATAATTTATTTTCATTACTGCAGTGTCTTATACAATGTATTGTTTCTTTCTTTATTTAAGAAAGCTCCCAGTCCATGTGCTTAAATCAGACTTTCTCCATCGTAAAATTTATATAAGTGACTTTTATAGAACTCTTGTAATTTAAAATTTAGAGTAATTATAAATTTGTGGGGTTATACAAAAAGTTTTTTCAGTTTTATGTGAATGTGTTAACTCTTTATTTCTCTCAACTATTTAAATTAATATGTATTTCACACTTCCTAGATTTTAGAACTTATCAAACATTCAGGGATTTGGTTAGCACTTCAGTGAGTAAACAGTCAGACTACAAACTGTCTCCTTTTGCCTTATCCTCTGGCATGAAATTGAAGAGAAAATTTTTTTTTCACTTTTGGCAGCAAAAGAATGGTAAATAAAAAGAAAAACCCAGGTGGAATCTTTTTAAATTGCAGTGTAACATTTTTATTCATCTCCAAGCACTTTTTGCTAAGACATATAATTTTGTAAGAACTAAGTTATAATAACCAATTTTATTAGAATACATTTCAGTCTTGTAAATAAGTAACTGTTGACGACTAAAACATTGAGTATCAGTGGATATAGAAGAAAGCAGAATAGCGTGGTTTCAGCCAGCGCTGTCGAACGTGGACATGCAGTCAGCTGCGGAGAAAAATACTAATAAATTAACTCTCTAATTCCTAAGCAAAATAGTAAAAATTAGAAACATTAAGAAATTGAAGTAAACAAGTATAATATGAAATTGAGAAACAATAGTTACCTTCAGTTTGCATTTATCCTGTAGATACCCAGTGGTGGCTTAAGATGATGCTAAATTGTAACAAACGTGTTTTGGCTCATTTGACTAAGCAAAAAAAATAAAATCACTTTCTTGATCTTATTTGAATAATATCAGACCACTTCTATTATTGAGTCATATTTAAATTTTGTATAACAGGACAGTAAAATACAAACTCTAAAACTCTTTAGACCTATTTGGATGTTCTTATCTGACCATATGATAGTAAGAGGATTTCATTTTCCAGCAACTATGGCCGCTTCAGGTGTTTATGAATTTCTCTTGGGGGATATAGATACTGATAAATATTGCCATTTTGGGGGACATATTGTAAATTATAGAATTTTTTTTTGCCCGTTGGTGTAAAGCAACCAAATTTCAGCAAAATCCTATTTTAGTAAAATTAATTTAAATAATACGTATAAGATTTGGCATCCTGCAGGCTGATAATGAACATGTTTGACAGAAAGAATACAGAGCGTTTTTAAATCCCTGCCTTTGGCCCCATAATAGGGAGAGTGGGGTTTTTTTCATAACAAATTCATCTCTCAGCAACAAACAAGCAAATGTGTGTTGTATTTCTGTATATCTTAGAAGTGGGAAAGCAATTTCTTACTATAAATACTTGAAGTGAAATTTCTACTTTTTGAGAAAAATAGAATTACTGATATAGAATAATGTTATAGAACATATAGAATAATAAATTAATAATTTTTTAGAAGTAATAGACCTAATAGAAATTAGTCAGCAATACACTTTTGAAAGCTCATCAATATTTGTGATCATATGACTTTAATAGTTTCCATGTGGAAGATTAGCTACAGTACGAGCAGATTTTGTGCCTCATATTCCCATTTGTTAAATCAATCTGGAGGACATATCTTTAGGCTGTTTTGTACATATGCAGGTGCACACACTCATACACACATACACACACTCACACACACTCTGAAAGATTTATAGATGCTTTGAAATTCAGAGTCTTATAATAAAAATTATAGTTTGACTTAAATGTTAGATATTCCTATTATTAGCTGTCATTATAGGCATTTTATATGTTCCTGGTATGAGTGAGACTTAAATAAATTAACATATTTAATCTTCATAATATTCTAAAAAGTTTAGCTTTATCTCTCTGCAGAAGGTAGATTTCCTTGTTAATTTATTTGTAGTTCCATTTCCTCAGTGAATATTTTCTAGCAACTTCTGTCATGCAGAGAAAACTCTCTGATTATGTACTACTTGCAAATGAATTGAACTCTGCTGCTGTAGTTTTTTTTAATATAGATTAATCCTTTATGAAAAGTGGCAGTTTTGAGAATATTTAATAACTGTTCCCATCATCCTAAAATAGGGACTTTCTTTTACAGTAGAGAAAAAATTTTGCGTAAAACAAGGAATAAGTAACATAAATTATATTTCATCTAGAAAATTAAGATTTTGGATACTAAAACCTGTGGTTACCAGGAGTGAAAAAAGCTTTTCAACATCAATCACCCACCAGTGTGCTTAATCATCATACAGTTCCCTGGGAAATTTTACTTTCCATCTTCCATCATATCATTCTAAGAAGTCTCATCACCTTCCAGCTGGACAAAACATTAGTCAAAAGCAAGGAACTAATATTTTAATTTCCTGTACTTCTTTTTTTAATCTTTTTATTTCTCTTTCCTTCTAGTGTACATAAATAGTCTTCTCCTTTGTCACTTACCAAATGTCTGAAATAAATTGCCTGTTCCCCGTCATAGACAATAGCAGGTCTGGAAACTGTTAGATCACGTGGCTGTTAGCTCTTCTGCAAAGTCACGTGGCAGCTTGAAATAGCCATTAATAAGGGTGGGGCTAGCAAAAGTCCCTCCCATGCCAGAGGAGAGAAACCAGGTCTGTCTGGCTTCTGGTGACCCACTTTGTTTCTAATTAATATTTTTAGGAAGTGCGGCTATGAGTAACAGTTGTATTGGGCCAGGTACTGTTGGTTTGGGGAATTATTTGAAGGACCTTCCATTTCTTAGGATTTTGGTCTTGGCCACCTAACAACAGAAAATATCTTCAAGTCAACAGAGGTCCTTTTCGGCCTGCTATTCATTAGGCATATGTTCTAAAATTTTAAAACTGTTTCTAATGCCAAGTACTCTGTGTGCTATAATTTTCTAATGTTGTTAGAAATATGTAAGATTTGGTTAGGAAGAGTCTTGATTATCTTAGTGTATCTGTACTTTATGTAATATTTATTGGATTTGCAAATTGCATAATTAAATGAATGTGATTATTTTTTATGTCAAATTTCTATTAGTTTTTTAAATGTCTTTTAGAACTTTTGGTTTACTGAGTTCTCATATTGTTTTAAGGCTCTGGGGAAAAAAAAAAAAGCTCCATAATGGGTTATGATAGAATTTCTTCACGATTGAAATAAATTTGCAGTAACATTCATGAATTCACATATGAGCCGTGAGGTGTATCACATGACTGAGAGTAGAAGAATGCCATTGGACACTCTAAATGTTTAACCTCAAGTCACAGTATAGTTAAGAATAACCCCTCCTAGGCTTTTTATTTAGGATGCCATCTGTAATCTCATTGTTGAACACTAAGAAAGTGTGAACCTTCCAACAGAATGCTGACCTCAGAAGGCTGAAAAATTTTCATGCTACATAATCTCTCACATTCGTCTTACAAATAATCCTCATGTGTTGTGACATAATGTTTATAAATGTAAAGATTATATATTCAGTTGAAAAACATCTGATAATGGGAAAGTTATGAAGAAGAAAATGGTTTCGGTGGGGCTTTTTTCTAACTCCTGAACTTGCATGCAGTTCTTTGACTATTCCTGGTATATTCTACAGTCAAACTACAGCTATTATAAAGCCTCTGCTTACTTTCTGGTGTTCCGGACTGCAGTGACACATCAAATAGAGAGGATAAATAAAGTTCAGTTAACTACAGTTTCAGAATTGACATTTATAGTGTAGTGAAATCAAAGCAGGTGAAATAGGAAACCTGGTGAGAAATAAGTTGAGTTTGTCAAAATCGTTTAGACCTGACTTAAGGTAAGTGTCTTGACCTCCCTTGCTCTCTGTTTCCCCATCTGTGATATTAGAAACTTGGTCTAGAGGATTCCTAAGGTCCCTTCCAGCTCAATAGTTCCACGATAATAATAGGTAATACATTTATTTTTTGTAATTACAAATGATCCAGAAAGGTACCTAAAGCTAGAATTTCTTCAGCTAGTGCCTTACCCTGCTTGGACATTGGTGTGGTTGAATGTTTCAGCTTTCTCTCTTATTTCTTCATATGCTGACACATAATGGACATCGATAGACCTTTTGGGAGAGGGTGAGTAAAGCTTTATTTTAAACTTCTGTGTTGAGAGACTTCCATATCTTAATAACTGTCCTCGTTTTGATCATGTGGAGCCTGGGATATCTTTGTCCTTTCTTTTTCTTCTCTTCCATTTGTTCTCCCTCTCTGTTGCGACATAGATTCTTTGGCTGCACTCTCCTCTGTTCCCTCTGAAGCTCAGATCTCAGACCCATTTGCACCAGAACCTTCCCCTCCTACCACAGCTGCAGAAATTGCAACTGCTTCCGCTTCTGCCTCCACCACCACAACTGTCACTGCTGTCACTGCTGAAGTGGATCTCTTTGGAGGTCAGTCAGTCACGTCACTGTTCCTTAATTTTCCTTCCAGGATTGCTGAAATTACTTTAGAGTTAAGGTGTTTAAAAATCTTTACGCTCTATAACAGCGTGTCAGAGTGTTTAAGGACTTTTTAAATGTTTATTTTCATATATTTATCTTTGCTAAATTTATCAACTTTATCTTCATTTTAGTGGTTTTCAGGCAGCGGTTGCTATACTTTCGATCCATTTGATTTTCCATTTTGTAAAAGTTGCGCTTTAAGTTGCTCCTTGTCCCGTATACGCTCCCTCCCTGCAGAATCTGTGGAAGAGTGGGGCCAGACTTCGCCATCATATTTAGGTTTGGCTTTTTGGCCAGATTCGAACTAGCACAGAGAAAAATATTTAGGGAATATGGGAGGGGTAGTCCTGGCCTAAGTTATTTCTTAAGGTTTAGGACAAAAAGTCATCTAAGAGTAGTTCATATTTGGAGGTCTCTGACAGTTTAGGGGGGTGCCTCTTTTTACAGTTTTAAGTTTATTCTTTCCAAGCAAAGACCTGGATCATCTTTGACTTCGGAACTTTGGGAGATCACTTGAATCAGCACTTGAAATGCTGATTGAAAACAGGTTTAGGTCGGACTGTGAAATAATTGTTTGAAAACACGCTTTCCATGCAAATGTAAATTCTGACACGCAGTCGATTTACAGCTGCGGCTTGAGTCAGATACCCTAGTCTCTGCCACTGTAATATGCCTGGACCTGAGGAACCATCTGAAGCTAGTTTATTTACATATTCCTATCTGAGGGGTGCTAATGTCCAAGCCTGGAGAAGTGTTCACATCAAATACACACATAGGGGAGTGTTATATTCATCATAGTTTTGTGTTTCTTCATTACAGGATAACATCTTTCCCAGGCATTTGAGAATATGGTAAAGAAATTGGAGGAGGCAAATGATGGGGAGGGCAGGAGAGATTTGGCAGGCTCCAGTGGCGTTAATATATCCCCCTGGGAACACGCACTCACACTGTCACATACCACTGTGCTACGTGCCGTGCCCAGTCTTGAGGTTCGCCAACATTGGCTAAGGCAAGGAGCACTCAACTAGACGCAGCCTTGTTGCCACTGTTTCATGCAAAGAACTTGCTGCTGGCTTGCTGCACTGCCCTTGCTGTGAGAGGAGAAACTTGCTTTAAAAAAGAAGAGGGAAAGGGTTTGCAGAATCTTGAATAATTTATTATAGACAGTCTTCCCCTAGAACCCGTTGGTTTTTCAGTTATGCCTCTATAACTTTTGAGACCAAAAATTAAAGTTTTAGCTTAAATTTATGAAGTCAACTTCCTCACCCCCTCATCTTCCCCCCGCCCCCATTATTGGTGTTGGGTATGGATGGTTGCTCATAGGCTTATGTTACCACAAAACTTCAAGGAGAAGAGGGCCGGGATGGGTAACAATTTTGTGCTCGAACATTTCTATCCCTTTAGTTATTTAGATTTTTGTTTTCCTATCCATTCATAAAGAGCTTAATTGCATCTAAGAAATCAATCAAGTCCATCTTGCTTCCTTCATGGCTCTCTAGAATAATGAAGCCTCAGATATTTCTTGAAATATTCTTTGAGCCATTATGCTATTCGTGTCGATCATTTCTTACTGCTTTGACTACATTCATCAAGCAGAGAAATATATATGTTTGGAAATATTTTCATGATGACATTCTTTCTACCCTAAAATACAACCTTTAAGGACTAGTACTGCAGAAAATCATATAACTTAATGCCAAAGAATGGGGCTCTCCTCATGATTTCACCAACATCCATTTCTGAAAAATGGATAATTGTTTAATTTCATGGATATGAAATGTTAAAACATTAAACTTTTCTATGTATGTATTTTCATTACAATTTGACAACTAGGAAACATCTGTTATATTTTAATACTCAGATTGATACCCACATAACATTTTAGTCATTTCAATGTAAGTCATTAAAATTTTTTTAGGAAACATTATCTTTACTAAATGGTTTCTTTTTTATTTTACTGAGGTCGTATTAGTTTATAACGTGAAATTTCAGTTGTGCATTCTTATTGCCAGTCACCACGTATATGCGCCCCTTCACCCCTTGTGCCCACCCCCACCCCCTTTCCCCTGGTAACCACTAAACTGTTCTCTTTGTCCTTAGTTTGTTTATCCTCCACATATGAGTGAAATCTAAATGTTCTCATTTTTAAAGTGAACTTTTAAGAAGTAAAATCCGCTTTCTGTGTTCATGCAGGACAGCACTGCAAGGCAATGTTGTGCTTAAAAAATTTAGATGTTAGTAAAAGTAAAAGACAAAATCCTTAAAAACATTCTATTTATGAAAATCTTACTAACAACAGCGCATTAGTTTGTAACAGCACAGGGTTTTCCTAAGCCCTAGGATGCGAAATTGGTGCTACCTCCTCCACACAAACGCCAGGACACCCTTTCAGTCACCTGTATCCATTTGTGAGCAAGCGTTCATGGAAGTCTGCAGTAGTCTGTAGGAGGTAGTCTGTGAGCTTGAAATCAGGTGACTGCAAAACTAAAGAACTTTCACAAGCTTGACTTCCTTTGTACGTGTGGTTAACAAACTAAGTTAACCAACCTTCCTTAAAACCAGTACTTAAATATAAGCACTTAAAACTAGATTTCATGTAAGAGTTTTATAATCGTGGACCTTTGGGGAAGAAAAGGAACTGGACAGCTGACCCTTGGGCTGTTGAGAATGATTGAAACCTTTGGGCCGAGTATGTGATTTAAAGATGGCTTATGTGGCGGCAGAAGAGAGAGGTGTGGTTCAGGCTGGGGAAGATAACAGCTATTAGAAATTTTTAGAAAGGTGGTCACATGATAAAAAGTTCGAGAGAAAATTCTTCCTAGATTGCTAGAAGGAAAAAAAGACTAGTCTGCAGCAGTGTCGGAGAGACCGGCTTGCTGGGTAAGGGCTGGACTGAGTCTGTAATTGCAGAACAGCAGGATCTTGCATTTCCAGGAAGTAGCACTGATTGAAAATTGGCAGAATGTAGAAATGAACTGCAAGTGGGTAACAAGGGAAGGAGAACCAGATTGGAACTAGCTTGAGTTTTCAACACTGGGAGGATAATGCTGCCATTGATAAGGAAAGAAAGCTAGGTATTTAAAAGAAGTTTTCTTGGTTTTTTTTAAACAACATCAGAATTTATTCTCTCTCTTCAGTCCAGGAGACCCACTGGGCTCAGCTGGACAGTTCTCACTCATAGTCCTTTTCGTGGCTACTGTCAGACCGTGGCTGGGGTTGGGGTCATCCCTAGTCTTGCTCATTCTTATCTCCATCTCCTTCTCTGGGAAGACGTAACAGCCAGGACCTGGTCCAGCTGGGGCTCCTGTCTTTAAGAGAAGTTTTGATGGGAGTAAATAAGGTGTTTATGATGTTTAGTTTTAAGTAACAGGAGAAGCATTAAACGAGATGTCTTGCCGACAAGGAAGAAAAAATATCTCCTGAGAATATAGCTATATTTATACGTAAGTGATCATTAAAGAGGCCAGCCCATGAATATTTATCTGACCCCTAGCACTGACATAGTTGGTGTTTATTCCATCCTACAAGTAGTACTGTACTAGCAGAACGTGGTACAGTTCGTAACAGTGCGGCATAGTAGTTAAACACACAAACCTCAGTCAGACAGTTTATGGCCAAATCCTGACTTGGCCATTGGCTATCTGTGTGACCCTGGTCAAGTCACTCAGACTCCCCAAGTTTCTGTTCTCTTATCTCCAAAGGGAGATCATAGAGCCTACGTCACCAAATAGTTGTAGGAATTAAATGTAACAGTGCATATAAAATATTTCCACAGTGACTGGCACATCAGTGCTCACTAAATAGTGACCGTGGTTACTGTTTCTGCTGTTTCCAATATTATCAGCCCCAGTTCCACATTTTATAGGAATAAAAAGAAAGAAAACACCTGATGCTTGACAAAATATTGTCCTGCCCTCGCCACCTCCTCCTGGACTTTTCTTGTGTAGTTCTGTCCTGGCTCTTGGCACTTTGATGCTGCTCTGCATCCTCTGTTACAGTCCTTAACATGCCGTGTAGAGAACAGGGCCTGCCCTACCCCGTGACGTGTTTTCATATTCCAGTATCTGGCCTCTCCCCCGACTGACCTCTACTCAGAATAGCTATTCCCTCACTGTAGCTTAACACTGGGCCTCGGGACATTACTTAAGTGACTTTCATACTCAGATCAGTTTGGAACATTCTTGGTTAAACTGAGAAACAAGTGTCTTGACTGTAGGACTTCCTACAGCCTAATATACTACATAAATCTCCCACAAAGGGGATATACTGTGTAGCATTTTCCAAGCATATTTGACAAATTCTTCGTAATGGCCAGAGGAACAGTGCTCTAGGGAACACTGGTAGGTATTGTGGAAGGCAGAATTTTAGGATGGGAAGTCTAGCAGGTAAGTGGCAGGCTCTGGGTGAGGGTTGGTCCCCACTTTCCAGAAGTTTCTTCTCCTAAGCAAGTCATTCTTATGATAGCTTGATTCCTTTTGTACTTTGGAACTACAGAGTCTCTTTGAAAACTTTAGGATTTTTTTTTTTTACCATAATTAACATGGTTTGTTGGCATAAATACATTGGGAACCATTTGTACATATCGGCCTTTTATAAATTGGGCATTTATAAACTGGAGTGCCTGTATGTTAATGGATTTTTCTACTATAAATAGTAATACACTTGTAGTCTTAAAACATGAAACTGTATTTTTAATCTGTTGAAAATAGATCATTTTCCAAATAACTAGAGCAATACAATATTTGAAAACCACAGTAAATTTAAGTCAAAATAAAGGCATTATGGTGTCATCCCCTAATTTTATTCTCTCTTTATTCCCGTAAATCCTTGGTTGTGTCTGAAAATGATTTTCAAGGATAATGAAGACTTAATGTTTATGAATACTTAGTAAAACTTTCATGTTAACAGTGTAGTTTTCTTGTCCTAGTCTATAAAAATTTAAATTAGAATTGTTTGTTTACATTACCATGATATATTTAATTTTGTTGACATTACAGAAGACATCCATGTTTGGCAGAAACCCCTAGTTGGTAACATCATAGCAACATAGTGAATAAGTATTAACTGGACTTGAAAGATTATTGTCTTAAATTACATAATAAAATTATCTTTGTGTTCTAATTTTCACATCCATTAATTTCTAATGATACATAAAACATGCTTCTCAGAGCCCTTATACAATGAGAATCTTGTTACCTTTTAGATCCTAATAGGCCTCAGCAGTATCCACACTGTACCATGTGCATGTAATTAACCTGAAGGGGCGCAAAGAATCATTGTTTTGTGACCGCCAACAATGCATGGGCCATAAAAATGCATTTTAAGAAATTCATGTTGTATAAGGGAGCCTTCTTCGCAATTTAACTTGGTTCTTTTACTATATTTTCTTCTCTTTTTATTCCTTTAATTTCTATTGTTTTAAAAACTGCACCCAAGATGCCTTTGCAGCTTCTCCTGGGGAGGCCCCTGCCGCACCCGAAGGGGCCGCCGCGCCAGCCCCCCCAACCCCTGTAGCAGCAGCACTTGATGCATGTTCAGGAAATGGTGGGTTCAAAGGCACGCGCCAGTCTGTTGTTTCTCTGTCCCGATGTGAACCTCCCGTAGTTAGATGTGGCCATATGTTTTTCTAATTCTAATTTAGTCTGAGTGTAAAGTCTCATTCATCATAACTGAGTTAATAATGCCGGGACTTAAAACATTAAGACAGTGAAGTGCATACTTAGCAAAATTGGCAATTTCTCAAGATTGACAATTTTTGTCAGTGCAAGTATGCTCTCTTAATGTTTTTTTTTCCTCTAATGCTTTATCGTACTCTTTTGTAACACTGAGTTCAAATATATAGGCATGTTTTAATGAATGTTCAAAGCTACCAAATTGACCAGCTTTAGTAAGAGTTTGGAGAATGACAATCTCTGATCCTAGGCTGTAGGCTAATCTTACAGTACTTTGAAGTGTTTCAGTTTCTTAACTTGGTACCTACAAAATTTTCTTTTTTCTTTAGAAAAACATTCTAATCACTGCTAATAAGATGTAGTTCAATCTAAGCAGCCTAATGCCTAGCTAGCCTGTAACTCTGTGTCAGGGTCTCCTACCCAGAGTTAGGACCCCTCTCTCTTGTCTCTCTCCTTACTGATGCTGTGTGTCTCCACTTTCCTTCCCGAAAGACCCCTTTGCCCCGTCTGAAGGTAGTGCAGAGGCTGCACCCGAGCTGGACCTCTTTGCAATGAAGCCACCTGAGACCAGTGTTCCTGTAGTTACCCCTACAGCTAGCACAGCCCCTCCGGTTCCCGCCACTGCTCCTTCTCCTGCTCCCGCCGTTGCAGCTGCCACTGCTGCCACTACTGCTGCCACCACCGCCGCCACCACCACTGCCACCACCTCCGCCACCACCACCACCGCTCCTCCTGCTCTAGATATCTTTGGTGGTAAATTTTTGTTGTTGTTGAACTCTTTCCATCTGGTGGATTGAATTCTGGTACTTGAGATATACTGCGTACACAACTCTTCCTGCATGAATACTGTGTAACGAAATGGTTCTCTGGAAACCATTTGCTGCTTGTTTCAGAATTCTCCAAAGTGCTACTTCAGCACTGGAAAGGGATGCTGTTTCAGGCTGGTTTGTCAAGTTGAGTAAAGGCATGTGTGTTCTTGGTCTTAGATTTATTTGATTCTGCTCCCGAAGTTGCTGCAGCGCCTAAGCCAGATGCTGCTCCTAGCATAGACCTGTTTGGTACAGGTAAAACCAAAGCAACCCTTTTCACATTAGTTTTCCTAGCTGTTTTCATGATTGAACCCTTTGTACTCACCTGTGATAATGCATTTGTTAGATTTTTGACTTTGATTTCAGCTGTCTACTTACCTCTGCTTGGTTTTGGTTTGTTTCACTTTTGGAAGATGCTTTCTCCTCTCCACCACAAGGGGCCTCTCCCGTGCCTGAGAGTTCGCTCACTGCTGACCTCTTATCCGGTGAGTGCCTTTGCCAAGGTCAAGCCTGCAGAGATGTCTTGTGGGGGTTATGTGTAGAGAGGTAGATACGAAAACATGTGGGTTTGGCTTGAGTTCTTTTAAACTCAAAAATTCACTTTTTTAAAAAATCTCACGTTTTAGCCCCTCATCAACTGATGAGGGTTAATACTTCAACTCTAACACTGGTGCAAAGAGAAAATTTTTTCACGCCAAAGCCTCTGACCCCAAGAAGTCAAATTTTATTTTCTTCTGGAAAGTATATATTTTAAAATCCATTCCTTAACTGTTAAGATTACCTGTAGTGGTACTGCCTGCTATTGAACATGAAATCTCGAGAAGCCAGTTGTCAAGGCCCATGGTTTCACTGTCCTTTGGGTGACATGCAGTTTGTCCTGTTCTGTGCTTCACTGCAGTGGATGCATTTGCAGCACCATCTCCTGCAGCCACTGCCTCTCCAGCAAAGGTGGATTCTTCAGGTGTGATAGACCTTTTCGGGGGTGCGTATCTGTCCTCCTTCAGCACTTACAGAATCTTTTTCCACCCTCAGAATAGTTTTTACATCTTCTATTTCATTTTATTTCATCATTTTTCTTTTGACTATGTGAAGCCATTTCCATCTCTTAAATGTAAACTTAAGTTTTTAAGATCTTTTCCATTTCTTTGCCATCATCATCGTCATCCTCATCAGTTCATCATAATTTTCAGCGCATGGTCTAACAAAACCAGATCGTTTTTCATTTGAGGTCTTTGTATTTTTGTTCATCCTAATGTAGATTAGAATTTGCTTCTACTGTTCTGCCTTGGTGATCCTGATCTCTTGTCTAAATAAACGTTTCTCAGTTCTTGAAAGCAATATAAACGTTAACTAGGTAAGTCGGAATTGAAAACAAATAAGGCAGTCAAAACTGAAAACTTAAATTCTAGAGGTCATACATTATCTGTAGGGTTTATTTATGTTGAATTTAATATTTTAGAATCCTTCCAGAGAATTGGAAGATGTTTCACTGATTTAAGTGTATTCTCCTCTTCTTTAATGTGTTATCTGAAGGCAGGGAGATGTACTAAATTAACTCTAGAATTTCTCATTTGGCGGATACATTTAAAGTCTTCTTTAAAAGGAAAGTATAGGTTTGAAGTGATTTCTTCATGACTCTCCATAAATGTGTCTGCTTTGGGCTAAAATGTCATCCTTAGCAAGTTAAACCCACATTGAGTACCTGCTGTGCGCTGAAGAATCATGGTATGTGCCATGCAGGTACAAAGACCTCACAGTCTCTGACATTCAGGGTCTCAAAACTTGTGGCAAATAAACACCGAACCCTAATATGTGGGTACAAGTAGTGCTGCTGCTGCTTGAATTAAATTTGTTAAATCTTTTAAAAAGTTTAATAGAGTTCTAAATGGGAAAATTCTATTGTATTACCTGTGGGCAAAAATTTCAAAACCTTAATGCTGTTCTGATAGATGACAAGATTTAATCCAAAACCTTTATTCTTAAAAAAAAAAGAAAGAAAGAAAGCAAAAAAAGAATTTTCTTACTCTTGCAATTCTTAAATAATTCTTAAATTAATTCTTAATTAATTTAATTAATTCTTTATTAATTCGTAAATATCCTAGAACAGCTTTTTGAGACAATCAACTGGTCAAAGCATAATTCAGTTCTCTCAGTCATTTCACATATCCACAGGAGACGAGCTCACCACGCAAAGTGTCCTATGTATTTCTCTGCAAAACACTTACATTACTTACTATACTTACTGTTTACACTCTTTTCCTTTTTTTGCTGCATAACGGATAATGGGTAGATGCATTTGGAAGCAGTGCTTCTGAACCCCAACCTGCACCTCAGGCTGCTTCTAGTTCATCCGCATCGGCAGACCTACTAGCTGGTAATGAATTAAACTGAAATAAAATGGTATTTTGTGGAAGTTAAGTTTGGGTATATTTTTAAAGAAACAGATATTATATAAATTTCAAGGTGCATGTTTTCTTTCCCTTTTAAGACATGAAATTGAAAAGTAAGATGTTGTATAATAAAAGATTGATTATCCCAGGATTCTATGAAATTAGTCTTAAAATCAGTTATATACAAGCCCTCGTCCCTCGTTGGATGTTCCTCACATGCCGTAATTTCAGTTAGCAGGTTTCTTTTTGTTTACTAAAGAGGTAATATGCTTCTGTAGAAATTTTCACCTTGTGTTGCCTATGCCCGTCTTTTTTTTTAAGGAATTTGTGGGGAGAGATACCATCATGTTTGACAATTGATTCTGTAACTTATGAATCACTCCAGGAGAAACTGTTACAGATTGTCACCATTGGGTTGAAGCTGCTGCTGCATATGCCACGTTTTTAACTAGCTGATCATTTTTCTGTCTGAAAACCTCTGGAATGATCCCAATTCAACAAGACCATAGTGTGGATAGATTGGCACAAGGTGCCTAGGGTTGTTGCTTATTTCCAGGGTGGGCGAGATAGAAGCCTAGCAGACAGGAGCCTGGCAGAGTGGTCAGCCACTGTTGACCACTTCCAGTGCTGCAGAGTGACATTGTCTTCTCCAGTGTCCTCAGTCCGTCCAGCCTCTCCATGCTTCCAGGGCTGCATCCTGAGACACTGTCTTTCCAGAAGAGCCGAGGACACTAGAAACAGGAGCAGAGAGGCCAGTCAGAGCCTGTGTTCCATTCTGATTCTAAGGCAGAAGTCAGTGACAGAGCTGAGACATTTGATCCTGGGGGATGACATAGGATCTAAAATGTACCCGGAACGAGCAGGAAGGGCTTTGTCACCTACCATGGAGTATAGCAGCAGGTACCTGAGCCTCAGCTGCACAACCTGGTGTATGCGTGGGTCCAGCAGGGGATGTGCATGAAAAGTGCAAGTTAGGCCACTTCACCAAAAGTAGGCTTAAATTACTCTCCTGTGTTGTCTGTCCTGAAATCTTAGTAAAATGGGATAGAAAAGAGGAGAAAATCAGTGATGAAAGTGACAATGTCATTTACATAGGTTTTATTGACTGGACTTTTCTCATTTTTCCACGTCATCATCTTGACTGTTTCAGTGATGGGAAGAGGATTTTGTGTACATTTTCTTTTTTCTGTATTTTTTTCTATTTAAGTTAATTTTTAATGTAAATAGATGTAAATGGGTTCTGTTGTCTAGTTTGCTTTCCAGGCAATTCTTGTGATCTGTACATATCTGAGTGTCTGGCATGAGGCCAACTATTCTTTCACCTTATATCCTGATGGAAGAAATTTTAAATTACTTCTAATTTTCTAATTTTTAAATTACTTCTCTAGATCTCAATTATTTGGGCTGGTTTTTCATACTTCTCTTCATTTTGCTTATAGAAAAACATTTCTCAGACCAGCCCCATGGCCTAGTGGTTAAGTTTGGCACACCCCGCTTCAGTGGCCTGGGTTTGGTTCCTGGGCGCAGACCTATACCACTAATCAGCAGCCATGCTGTGGTGGTGACCCGCATACAAAATACAGCAAGATTGGCACAGATGTTAGCTCAGGGCAAATCTTCCTCAGCAAAAAAAAATAAAGGTGATTAAAAAAAAAAAAGAAAAACATCTCTCATATTTGTTCGGGTAACACAACAAGAAGCCATGTTCTCGCTGAAGAATATCATGGCATATTAGTATAATTCATCCTATTGAACTAGAAGCAACTTTTCCAGACAAAAAAGAAAAGAAAACCCTGCTAATATACACAACATAAAATCACTCTCACATTTATGTATGTAATCTAGCTGACAGTGGCCATTTCTGAGTTTTCTCATTGCCCAGACATTTCTGTTTAATGAACATCAATGGTAGAACAAATATTTGGGGCACTGTGTTGTGATAATTTACAGTGAAGCTTAACCCTTGTGTTATACTTGTGTGTGTATCTATGGGGAGAGATCAGCTAAGTCTACAGGCTATTGGAATAAAGAGGAACATTTTTTTTTAAAGATAAATGAACCTAATCATAGATAACAAGGAATAACAAGGATACACAAATGCAATCAGGTTCAAAGTAGGAATGTAAACCAAAAAAAAGAGAGAGAAATTCTATTTTATGAGTTTCTAGAATCTGGTATTATTGGCTTTTAGAAATAAGACTATTTTGTGAAAGAGTAAAAAAGAAAAATAATACATAGACACAGTGATGGGAGGTTTAGACTGTCCAAAAGTAATGTTGGTTGCTGGACTGGGGATTCTCACCCCATGCCTGACTAAAGTTAGATTTTTTTGAGGGAATAAATTTACATGTAAATAACAAGGGAAATGCAGTAAGTATGTACTATAATGTTAAAAATTATTTTTAGAGATTTTAAATGAAAAATTAAGAATCATTTTAAAATTGAGGAGAAAGCTTTATCAAAAATTGGTATATAATTTAAAACTAGAAAACTAAAATTAAATGGATAGTCCCTTAAAAATGGGCATATCTCATAAAAAGTGGTTATTCTTCTTCATTCAAATTTACTTCTAGATCTATCAGATAATACCAATTCCAGAATTGAACTGTGCATGAAATATTATCTTATCGTCTTTTACCCCTTGAATAAAAATTTCAGGTTCTCTTTGGTGTACCCAACCTGGTGAAACTAGAGAAAATCCTAGAAAGGGTAACTGTTGTGACCAGTGAGGACAGAATAGAAGAATAATTCTCTCCAAGTCTTTGAGATTACTGGTAGGATGCAGATATTATCTCAGATGGAGTCTGGCTGGAAACTTGAGAGTTAAGTTTATAACAAATAAAAGGAAATACTATATCACACAGTGAAGAGTAAAGCTGTCAAACTCCTCTCAAGATACACCAGCTGAAAATATAGATGTTTGAAAGATAGAGAGAGATTCCTGGATGATGGATGTAAAAATGGATTACTGAGGGAGATTAGGTGTGTTGAAGGATATGCCTAACTTTCTGAGGTTGATGTCAAGCAGGAAAACCATGTTCCTCCATAATAGACACAATTCTGGGGTGACTGCACCAAAAATTTGTACTGGCATAGGAGTGTGCCACATCCTATCTTTAATTCCAGAGGTTGGGGAGAATATGGGCCAGTCTTATGTAGTTTTGCATTCTCTGTTAACCACATGACAATTTTGGGGGATTAATTTTTTAACTCAGCTACAGAAGTCCTTGAACTGATTTAAAATATAAAAATATCCAGTGTGGGATTAATAACTAACAATTTCCACTAAATGGGAAGTTCTGCAGAGGACGAAGCCTTTCATCCTCAGTGGGGATGGAAAGCAGTCTGAAAGGTGGTAGACAAAGGGCTCTCAGGCTGTTATTTCTAGAAATATAGACTATCTCAGATTGACCTTAGTAAGTGGAATATGTTAACAACTGACTGTACCACTGGAATAATTGAGATGACATCATCTTTAAGATAATAATGGAGCAAATGTGGGTGTGGAGGAGGGAGTATATGTGGGAGTAGGTTTACCTACCAAGAGTTTTAAAATTTCCCTTTTCCAACCTGAGTGATATGATGTGTTGGATAGACTGTCAGTTTTGATATGTCTGTATTAATAGAACTTTGTTAAGTATGCAGGCTGTGCCCCTTTAGAAAGATACATTCATAAGACTAATCATATAGGATAAAAGGCAGTGTGTCTCTAGATGGTTGAGCACCTGAAGATGAGTGGCAACTCAGTTATAGTGTAGGACAGTCCAAATGGGCCTGCAGGACAGCTGGAAGCCTTATTATTCCCTTAGTTTCAGTTCCATAGAACACTTTTCTTAATGTAACTTAGAACCATATAGAAAGATAGATTAGTGGTTTGGCTTTTCTTATTACTTACCTCTATGTGAGGACTCTAAAACTTTTCATGTAACAGAAGTTCCCCAAACTGCTTATTAATGTCTGTAATTTTCCTGTTGAGGTCTCCATTTAAAGTATAGCAGTAGATTTTTTTCTTTAAGATAATCAGTTGGTTATTGGGTGTCACTTTGTAGCTTTTCAATTAGTCTAGGTTTGTGAGGGCACCTGCTCCGTAAGAACTAAGTGTAACAGAAAGAACTCATCTTTCCAGATATGTGTTGAGTTTATAAACCTAAGGAAGGGTGCGACTCTGGGATCACTCCTGGCTGTGGGGAAGAGACCACACAGTATTGTGGTGAAGAAGCCCCAGGCTCTGGAAGATTCTTGTGTGGAATCTTGGCTCTACCTTTGCCGTCATTTGACCTTGGACAAATTATTTAGACTTTCTGGCCTGTTTCCTCTTCTGTGAAACTTCATGGGGTTGTTGTGAGGATTGACCTAATGTATGTTTTAGGCTGAAAGATAAAATTGCTGTTTTTTTTTTTTTTTTAAAGATTGGCACCTGAGCTAACATCTGTTGCCAATCTTATTTTTTTTCCCCTCCTTCTTCTCCCCAAACTCCCCCACTACATAGTTGTATATTCTTGTTGTAAGTGCCTCTGGTTGTGTTATGTGAGACGCCACCTCAGCATGGCCTGATGAGCAGTGCCATGTCTGTGCCCAGGATCTGAAGTGGCAAAACCCTGGGCTGCCAGAGTGGAGCACATGAACTTAACCAGTCGGCCACAGGCTGGCCCCTAAAATTGCTGTTTTAATAGGCCCAAAATGGTCAAATATTGGCAATTAATGTGGTTCATATGGTTCAACCTAAAAAAATACTTGGAACAGTGCCTGGCACTTGGTGAGCCTCATGCCAGTGTCAGCTTTACCCTTCACTTTCTTACAGAAGGCACTATTTTTTTCTCATTGAATAGTGTTATTTATTCACCTATGGACATGACCTACTTGTGTTATGAAACTCAATAGCACTTACATAGGAAACATGTTTTCTTCTTCCTACTACTGAATCTTGACTAGGTGTGTTAACTTCTCTTTGCACCACTTCTCCCAGCCATGGAAAGGCAGAATTGAATCAGATGATCCTAACACCCTTTCCAAAACTAATATGCTGTGATTGTAGAATAAATTGTTTCTTCTTGGCCAAGTTTTAAGAAACTGAGAGTCAAGTACAATTGTCTCCACATTTACCTATAACAAAGAGAACCACACCATAGGATAATTATCAAACTTAGCCATAGCCATATTATGACTTGAGGTATGGAAAGTTTCAAAAAATCAGAATTAACACAGCTGCCAGTCTCCCTAAAAGCAAAATGGTCACATCCACAAAAATAGTTACTTTAGCCCATCTTTTCTTCATAATAATATTAGTTTCAAAGATCTAGAAAATGTCTTTTCTTTAGTGAGTAAAGCTACATGATGTTTATGTCACTCAAATACTAAAATCACTTAAAGTGGCCATCTTTAAATACCATCTTCTAATAGCTGATAATTTTTCAAACTGCAATTTTTCATGCATATACAAGGAAAGCCTAAACTCATGTCACTGTCAATTTCCAGGAGCAACATGCCTTGAACATTATTGCCTGTTTTAGAAAATAGTAACTAGAGAATCTCAATGGAAGTCATTTTCAAAATTATAAATTGGTTTTATGGAATGTAAGCTGAAGGATTTTTTGAAAGATTATTTATGTTTTTGCAAGCAGTTTATGAAGAAGAGAAGATGTGACTAGATTAGAAAGGAATATACACCCAAGCTGAGTATAAGAAAGACTTCTGGTAGTAATAAATTCTTTGATAATAGAAGATCATCTAATGTCTTATTAAGAAATCACTTCCCTCACAGGTTGCTTATTTTTGTACAGAAGCAATATGGGTGAGCTCTACTTCTGTCCATTGATTAAGAGAAATGATTTGCTTCCAGGCTTCAAAAGATAAATATTTGATTTGAGGTTTGCTTACTGTACAGTAGTCTTTGATTTTTCCTTACCTTTTATATTCAAAAGTATCCTTCATTCAATAAGCATTAACTCCATGTTTTAGGCACTATGCTGAATATTAGCAGAAAAGGCAAGAAAAGACACAGTTCCTGACACCATAAAGCTGTCCCCAGGGTGGGGACTTGGGGGTGGGACTAAAGAAGCATGATGGGAACAGGCTGGAGAAATGTTCCAGGTGCTGAGAACACAGAGGCAGAGCACATTGCTCACTGGCACCGGTGTGGGAGGGGCGGAGGTGGCTGTGGCTGGGAGCAGGGGGTGGCAATATAAGGCAAGTCCTCCCAGAGGAGACTGATCCACTGTGATAGCGGGTTACAGTTGCAGCCTCGTTTGCAGGAAGGGAAGGCGGCCAGTGGGCAGAGAAACAAGGGTTGATTGCTACACAAAGGAATCTGCTTTACAGTCGTGCGTCGCTTAACAATGGGGTGCGTTCTGAGAAATGTGTCCTTAGGCGATTTTGTCATTGTGCACACATCATAGAGTGTACTTACACAAACCTAGATGATATAGGCTGTATGGTACTAATCTTATGGGACCATCGTTGTATATGCGGTCTGTCATTGACCACACAGTCGTTATGCAGCACATGACTATATATGAATCTGGAAGTTATGGGGAGCCGATGAAGGATCTTAGAGAAGTAACTTTGTCAACATTTTCCACTCAGAAAGATCACTCTGGCTGCACTGCAGAGACTAGATGGAAGGAAATCCAGACTAGAGGCAGGAAGCCCTCCAGGGTGACTGTTGAGGAATCTGAGAACTGTGTTGGGGGGCGAGGTAGGAGGAAAGCTAAACTTGGCAGTAGCAGGAATGGAACTAGAACATGCAGGAAAGAAATTAAGGAGGATTTGGTGGCAGAGTGCATGCATAGTTTTCTGATTTGTATTATTATACTGAGCCAAGGTATACAACTAAGCATTTTCTAGACCTGGTATGGTGATTTAATGGTAATGTGATATAATGAAAATAATTATCTGAATTTTAGCCCTGGTAGTACCTTCTTAGCTTTATGTACTCGATTGTAATAATAGACTTGGTTGCCACAAGTTGTCTTAATAGGGGTGTATATTCTTGTGTGCTTATTTCTAATTAACTTAAATCTCATTAATACATGACAAATATCAACATACTTGAAAAACTTTTAAAGAACTAACTTCCCAGGTGTCATTGACTTCTCATGTATGTGCATTCAATTGCTTTTCAGTCTTCTATAATTTTTTGTGACTCTGTTTTAATGGCTTTTACCCACCGTTAGTTGGTTCTGCTTATATTTTTCTGGAACTGTTTTTTCCCAGGATTTGGGGGTTCTTTCATGGCCCCTTCTCCATCACCAGTGACTCCAGCTCAGAATAACCTGCTACAGCCCAATTTTGAGGCAGCTTTTGGAACAACGCCTTCAACTTCTAGCAGCAGCTCCTTTGATCCATCAGGTAAGGCAGTGATTTTCAAACATTCTTTGTATTTATTCTGATAATAAAATATACCACCTAAGGTTAGTATGATAGCAGGAAATTTTTAAGCAAATATTGAGTGATAACCTGGTTTTAAAACTGTTCAATTAATGTCTCATTCTGTAACTTAAGTAAATATTTTCAGTACATTTTGGTAGCTTTGAGAATAACCTACAGTCCCTTTCTGTGTTTCTGTTTTTGATTTTTAGCAGAAATCTAACTTAACATTCACACCATCTGTTTGCATGAGCTTTCATGCACATGGTTTAGAGATGGCTAAGGGAAAACAAATACTTTGTGCTAAATCTTCATACAGTATCTGAATGTGTGGACATTCCCACTGCTGTTGCTTACACCCTCTGAAGCTTGCATGGCCCTTGGTTTTATGAAGTTGAGACACAAATAGTATTCTTTGCCTGCCTTTAACCTGTCATCCTGCTGTCATTTTGTTTGTATTCTCTTCCATTCTACTCTTCCCATGCTGGGTCCTTACTACAAATTTTCAATTGGTGAGTTTTTGGCAATTAAATGTGTTTCAGAAACACCCTAAATATATCCCCTGCCTGACAATTTGGTTGCTTCTATTGCCAGTGCCTAGTTGAATGCTGTCCTTTTTCAGTTTAGAGTTCTCGTATAGTAGTATTTATGGTAAACATGTATAGTTTTTTGGTAAAAATTAACAACCACAAAATTTTTGACATGGATAAGAGATTGGCAATAGCTTATGCAAATCCTATGAATCTGCATTTTGAATGGTCTTTCTGTATTCTAGGAACTAAACAAGTGATAATTTGTTATATGGTTATCAGGAACCATCAATAATGGCATGATTCCTAATGCTTAAAATAGTGTTTACTTTAAATATGCCCTTAAAGTTAGAACCAAAAGTGATTGCTATAATGAGAGAAAAAAATCAAAATTTTTATAAAATATGGTCAACTGTTTTTCAGATACTTATTACTAGATACTGATCATTAGATCAGGTTTTATTCTGACACTGATTTCTTAGGAAACTAGGAGATTTAGCCTTCTTTTCTCATGTAAGCATTATTTTAAAAGTATGCATCATAGGATTTCAGAGCGAATCATTTAGGCTTTGCTGTAAATCACTCCATTTTGAATAAGAAGTGTTTTAGTGATTGTTTTTAGTGAGAGTAACAATGGCTAGCACTTACTGAGTACCCATACAGAGCAAGCATTATAATAAAGACAGGCTGTATATTATCTAATTAATCTTCACAGCAAAGCCATATAGTATTGGTACTCTCCCCATTTACAGGTGAGAAAACTAAAACTCAGCCGCTTTCTCAAAGTCACACAGCTAGTGAGTTTTGCTGCTGAATTTGAGCCCAATTCCGACTTCAGAGTCTGTGCTCTTTCCTGTACATTACATAAATTTTCTTTTCCATCTTTGTTCATGGTCATTAGTATTTCCATATTTTATGAGTAACCGTATGTAGAGATGTTCTTCTTGGTGTGATAGTCATGAAAAGTGTGAATTACATGTCTTCTTTGATAAGACTGTATAGTCACTTGTTTCCATGGTTTTTCAAGAGACAATTTCCCTTTACTTTTGCATATGGTCTCTTTTTTCCCCAATTATTCTGAACCTGATCTGTCTGATTTCCAGTGTTCGATGGTCTAGGTGACCTTCTGATGCCAACCGTGGCACCGGCCGGGCAGCCTGCACCCATCTCAGTGGCACCTCCCAGTCCTGCAATGGCAGCAAGCAAAGCCCTCGGGAGTGATCTTGACTCATCTCTTGCCAGCTTAGTAGGCAGTGAGTAATATAGTTTTCTTTAACTGAATCATATGTGAATTTTTTTTTCTTTGTCTTTTCATATGTTTGGTTTCTGGATTCACTTATGGGTGAGTATATCAAGGAGTAGACAGAATTTCTTAGTGCTTTACCCAGTGCATTCCTTGGAAGATAAACAGTCGCTATGCCATTGCCTCGCAAGCACTACCCATGCCAATTTTAATCTGAATTACCAACGGTATGATTAGGGAGCATGTACCAGTGTGAAACCCAGTGCATCATGTATAATAAATACTGTACTTAATTTTTCATTTCATTTGTGAAAAAGAACATAGCGTAACTTAAATGTAACATATTTACCAATTAAGTATCCCATTAAGTTTCAGTTATTCATTCAACAGATATTTATTGAGTACCAGGCACTCTTCCAGGCTCTAGAGATAAATTGATGAACAAAGCAGGTATAAATTTCTGTTCTTATGGTGCTCAGGAAGGGAAGAGATGAATGTTAAACATTTTCAAATAAATAAATTCTATAGTATGTTAGGTCAGAAGTGCCACAGAGAAGAAACAGAACAGGCAAAGAGGAGTGGAGAGTGCCACAGAGTGGGAGTTAGAGTAGGCCTCACTGAGAAGGTGAAATTGGAGCAGAAATTGGAAAGTAAAGGAGTAAAGCATGTGGATACCTGAAGGAGAACATTTGCAGGCAAAGGAAATAGCCAGTGCAGAGGCACTGGGGCAGAAGATGGCCCAGCATATTCAAGGAACATCCAGGGGACTAGTGGCCGGAGCTGGGTAAGTGAAGGAGAGAGTCCTAGGAGACGAGGGCAGCTATTATAAAGATTGGCTTTTCTTAAAACTCTGAATTTGATTTTTTATTAAGATGAATGAGTTTACCATTGCAGATACCTTTCATTTTACTCACGGCTCTATCAAAAGTTTAGTAGATCATTGATACAGACTTCTTTTTCTTTGCATTTTCCTATGGACATACTTTTGTTACCCATTCGTCTTCCTTGATGGGGGCATCCGTGAAGATGCTTTGATGACACCCGTGGAGAGGTTATTTGAGTATTTTTTCCTACTCTAAAATTCCATCCCACTGGTGGACAGTCTGCAGGGGTGACTGCTTTTGCAGCACACAGCACTGTAATGTTCCCCCCAGATCCTCCTTCAGAAATAAAGGACTTACACCTGCAGCTGCTGAGAGTGCCGCCACACATGGCCCTCAGGAGCCAGCCGCCTCTGAGAATCATCTCAGTGGAAGAAGGCTGACCCACAAGGGGAATAGCCAAACAATCTTGAAAAAGAAGAACAAATTTGAAGAACTCACACTTTTCCGTGTCGAAATTTCTACAGAGCTACAGTAATCAGGACAAATGGTGCTGGAATAAGGATAGAAATACAGACCGGTAGAATAAAGAGCCCAGAAATAAATCTCACATACATTGTCAAACAACTTTCTACAAGGATACCAAGACCATTCAAAGTGGGAAAAGACCAAGACCATTCAAAGTGGGAAAAGACAGTCTTTTCAAAAAACGTAGCAGGACAACTGGGAAGCCACATGCAAAAGAATGAAGTTGGGCCTCTTCCTTACCATCCACAAAAGTCAGTTCAAAATGAATCCAATACATTTAGATGTAAGAGATAAATCTATAAAACTCTTGGGAAAAAACCTAGGTGGAAATCTTCACAACATTGTATTAGGTAGTGGCTTCATAAATCTAATACCTAAAATATAAGCAGTCAAAGAAAAAATAAATTAATAGGAATTCATCAAAATTAAAAACTTTTGTGTTACAAATGATGCCACCAAGAAAAGGAAAAAACAAGGACCAGCCCGGTGGTGTAGTGGTTAAGTTTGCATACTCCGCTTTGGCAGCCTAGGGTTCTTGGGTTCAGATCCCAGGCATGGACCTACACACTCTTCATCAAGCCGCGCTGTGGCAGCATCCCACATACAATACAGAGGAAGATTGGCCAGATGTTAGCTCAGTGACAATCTTCCTTAAGCAAAAAGAGGAAGATTGGCAACAGATGTTAGTTTAGGGCACATCTTCTTCACCAAAAAAAAAAAAACGAGAAAACAGCTCCCAGAATGGGGGAAAATATTTCCAAATCACATATCTCATATATATCCATATTGTATCCATAATATATAAAAACAGTTACAATTCAATAATAAAAAGACAACTCAATTTAAAAATTGGCAAAGCATTTGAATAGACATTTCTCCAAAAGGATACACAAGTAACCGATAAGTATATTAAAAACCGTTGAACATTATTAGCCATAAGAGAAATGCAAATCAAAACCATAGTGACAGAGAACTTCACACTGACTAGGAAGGCTATAATTAAAAAGATAATAATAAGTGTTGGCTACGTTGTAGAGAAATTAGAACTCTCATACATTGCTGGTAGAGATATAAAATGATGCAGCTGCTTTGAAAAACGGTTTTACAGTTCTTCAGAAGTTAAACATAGCATTACCATATGCCCCAGCAATTCCACTCCTAGGTATATACCCAAGGGAATTGAAAACATGTATCCACATGGCTTGTACACAAATATTCATAGCAGCAATTTTCATAATTAGCCAAAAAGTGGAAACAACCCAAATGTCCATAAACTGTTGAATGGATAAACAAAATGTGGTATATCCATAAAATAATTATTCAGCCATAAAAAGAAATGGAGTACTGATACATGCTACAGCATAGATGAACCTTGAAAACATTTTGCTGAGAGAAAGAAGCCAAACACAAAAAGCTACGTATTATGTGATTCCATTTATATGAAATGTCCAGAACAGGGAAATCTGGAGAAACAGAAAGTCGATGAGTGGCGGTCAGGGGTTCGGGGGAAGAGAGAATGAGAGTGACTGTTAATAGATATGGGGATTCTTTGTGAGTTGATGAAAATGTTTTAGAATTAGAGTGTGGTGCTCATTTCACAACCTTGTGAACATACTTTTTGCACAGAATTTTACTCTTTAAAAGTATGAATTTTATGACGTGAATTATATATCAATTTTTAAAGAAACCTCACTTACCATATACCCATTAGAATGGCTAAAATTTTAAAAAGAAAAAACAAAGCTGGGGCTGGCCCCGTGGCCGAGTGGTTAAGTTCGCGCGCTCCGCTGCAGGCGGCCCAGTGTTTCGTTGGTTCGAATCCTGGGCGCGGACATGGCACTGCTCATCAGACCACGCTGAGGCAGCATCCCACATGCCACAGCTAGAAGAACCCACAACGAAGAATACCCAACTATGTACCGGGGGGCTTTGGGGAGAAAAAGGAAAAAATAAAAAAATCTTAAAAAAAAAAAAAAAAACAAAGCTGACGGTACTATGTGCTGACAAGGATGTGGAGCAACTGGAACTCTCACACTTTGCTGGTGGGACTACCAAATAGTATAACCCTTTTGGAAATAATTTTAGCAATTTCTTATAATAGTTAAACCTATACATATTTTATGACTCAGTAAATCCACTCCTAGGTATTTTTTCTAGAGAAATGAAAACATATGTTCACACAAAAACCTGTACATGAATCTTTATAACAGTATTATTCAAAAATGCTAGAAACACCCCAAATGTCCTTCAGTGGTAAATGTGTAAATGAACTGTGGTAAACCCTTTCTATAGAATACTACTTAGAAATAAAAAGGAATGAGCTATTGAAATACACAACAGCACAGATGAATCTCAATACATTATGCTACGTGAAAGAAGCTAGACACAGAAAAATTATTTACTGCATAATTTTCATATGATATTCTTGTTAAGGCAAAACTCTAGGGACGAAGAATATATCTGTGATTGCCAGGGTTAGGAGTAAAGGGAAGTTTTGGGTTTTTTTTGTTTTTGTTTTGTTTTGTTTTTGTGAGGAAGTTTGGCCCTGAGCTAACATCTATTGCCAATCTTCCTCTATTTTATGTGGGATGCTGCCACAGTGTGGCTTAATGAGCAGTGCTAGGTCCATGCCCAGGATCCAAACCTGCAAAACCTGGGCTGCTGAAGTGGAATGGGCGAACTTAACCACTACACCTCTGGCTCTGGACCAACCCCCAGGAGTAAGGGGAAGTTTTGATTACAAAGGGCAGCAAGAGAATATTTTGAGTGATTAAAGTGCTGTGTATCGTGATGGTAGTGATGATTACATGAACCCATGTATTTATCAAAATTTGTAGACATCTACATTCCCCCCCAAAAGCCCCTTGAATTTCACTCAAAGTAAATATTGTTTTAAATTAAAATATAATATTCTAAAACTGAAAAAAAGTGTATCTACATGCACCATATTAATTTTCCAGCATGCTTTTTTACAGAAATTGACAAACTGAACCTAAAATTCATATAGGAATACAAGGAAGCCATGAATAGCCAAAAGCATCTTGAATAAAGAAGAATAACTTTGGAAGACTCAAATTTCATGATTTCAAAACTTACTACAAAGCTACAGTAATTAAGACAAGTGGTACTGCATGGAAATAGCCATATACATGAATGGAATAGAATAAGAATCTAGAAATAAACCAATACATCTATGGTCAATTGATTTCCAACAAAGGTGCCAAGACAACTCAATGGGAAAAGAATCATCTTTTCAACAAATGGTACTGGAACAATTGGATATCCACATGCAGAAGAATGAAGTTACACTCCTTACCCCTGAAAAATAAATTCACAATGGATCCTGGAACTAAGTGTAGGAGCCAAAACTATAAAACTCTTAGAAGAAAATGTAGGAGTAAATCTTCATGACCTTGGATCAGGTAATGTTCTTAGATATGACGCCAAAAGCAACAAGCAACAGAAGAGGAAAACAGATAAATAGGACTGCATCAAAATTAAAAACTTTTGTGCTACAAATGATACCATCAAGAAAGTGAAAAAACAATCTGTAGAATGGGAGAAAATATTTGCAAAACGTAAATCTGATGAGGGACTTGTACCTAGAATAAGTGAAGAAATCTTACAACTCAATAATGAAAAGAAAAATAACCCAGTTTAAAAATGGTCAAATGATTTAAATAGTTCTCTGAGGATTAAATATCTGTGGCCAATATGCACGTGAAGAGACGCTCAGCATCAGTCATCAGTGAAATGCATATCAAAACCACTGTGTGAGATCACTTCACACCCATTAGGATGGCTACAGTAAAGAAGGGAGATGATAACCAGTGTCGAGGAGGATGTGAAGTTGAAACCCTCTAACACTGCTGGCGAGAGTGTAAGACTAGGCAGCTACTGTGGAAGGCAGTTTGGCAGTTTCTCAAAATGTTAAACATAGACTTGCCATTAGGCAGAGAGCGCACCGTGTGACTCAGCCTAGACAGCGCTTCCCCTCATCTCTGCTCAGCTTTGCACAAGTCTCCGCTCCTCCACGAGGCCTTCCCTGATGCTGTATTTCACACTGCCTGCCCATCGCTCTCATCCTAGCCCACCAGATCCTCATTACCCTGCTCTTTTTGTTTTTCCATATTGCCTTCTAGCAGCTTATATAATTTACTTTTTTATTATTTTATTGTTTATCATCCCTCTCGTCCCATTAGAACACAAGTTCCTCCAGGAGCGGGATCTTTGACTGTTTTCTTCCCTGACGTAATCCAAGTACTTAGGACAGTGCCTGGCATATGTAGGGGCTCAGTAAATATTTGCTGAAATAATAAATACATTGAGATTAGAGCAGAATGATTAAGCCAGTTGTGTCAGGGGTTCCCAAGACTACCCCCCATTCACAGTCACTAGAAGGACTCATGGGACTCAGCACGCAGTTGTACACGCAGCTAAGATTTGTCACAGTAGCGTAGTAAGGATGCACCTGGCTCATCAAGGGAAAAAACACAGGCACGAAAGAATCCACACGCAGACTTCCTTATGCTCTCTCCTTCGCATGAGGAGAAGAGCATACGAAAATGCAGCAACTCATGTGGGATGTTTGTGCCCGAAGAAGCTTTAGAGACTCAGCACCCGGGGTTTTTTCTGGATACTGATCACGTAGGCACTCTGCATAGCGTGAACCAAAATTCCAGACTCAAAGTAGGAAAGCAGGTGTCCAGCAGTAACCATGTTGTTTGTGCAAACAGTTTAGGCACAGAAAGTCACCCTTATCGTTAGGAAAAGTTTTGTCTCAGTGTAGAGGACAGTTTACTAGCCAGTTCCAGATGCCAGCCACGCAGAAAGTCCAAGAACAGTCTCAAGCCTGCTACGTTGACTCTTTTCTGAACACCAGTTGACCTTGAATGTGATCCTTAAGTATAACATAAAGTAAAAGAAAATGCTAGATTTGTGGATATGTTTCCTAACATAGTTTCTCTTTTGTAAAACTAAATGCAGTCATTCCTAGGCAAAATATGGACTTTTTCTAGACCTCTGATTCTTTGATCTGTTAAATGTCATATCATTTAAGCTGAGTATAGAGATTTAAATTTTTTTTATCTATTTATAGATCTTGGAATTTCTGGTACCACATCTAAAAAGTAAGTGCTTTTGAAATTATCTGGTTTTCTTGTGCCAATGTATTTGTATTTATTTGAGACTATCAAACATTGTATTCACTGAAGTAATTACTCATTCTTGGGCTAGGCAATTTCAGAATTGGTTTTTATTTCATTCTAGATTTTTGTTTTTGTTGTTTTCCTACTGGAACCTCTAAGCCGTTGGCTTTACAATGAAAAAGAATAATCTGTTTCAGTGTCCGAGGTTGTCACTAAGCTGTATCTAGAAATATTTGGGAATTGTGGTTTGAATACTTTAATAACTTTAAAATTCTGGATTTGTTACAATATTTCTAGGTAACATTGATTTTAAAAAGTCTCTCATGGAGGGACTGGCCTGGTGGTGTGGCAGTTAAGTTCAGACGCTCTGCTTTGGCAGCCTGGGGTTCACCGGTTTAGATCCCAGGCACAGAACTGCGACCACTCATCAAGCCATGCTGTGGCAGGCGTCCCACATGTAAAATAGAGGAACGTGGGCAGGGGTGTTGTTAGCTCAGGGCTAATCTTCCTCAAAAAAAAAAAAGAAATCTCTCATGGAGGATCCATTTTAAGGAAGGCAGGTAAGAGTACTGACCAATGTGCCATTTTTTTAGATGCATATTTCAACGTCTCTGAAATGGGCATGCATTTACAATAAATGGTATCTTACTATCGCTGTAAGGCAGGTTGTAGTCGTGATATAGTTGTGTGACACCTTCTGTTGAACCCCCTAAGATCCAGAAAGTACCATCATGGATACATCTTAAATTCAAAGTGTTGGTATACAGTTTTTATGATATACTTATTTGGAATTTTTTGTAACCGGTGAGGAATTCAGTTGAATTTTATGGCACGTTTTTCTATTAGAAGTGATAGGAAATTCCTGTTAACGTTGAGATCCAAACTTTAACTGATTTCTTGTCAAATGCTTTTAAGCTCTCTTAGATAGAATCTGGTAAGACTCCTGTGTAAGTTCTAACCTCTTCTCTTTATTACCCCTTGAGTCAGACTCCTTCTAACCCCAATAAAAGTATCTAGGAGCCACGCACCATTCTTTTCTGATTAGTGTGTTTCTTGTCCTTTTGTTTGTTTTGCACGCTTGATTTTAGGGGAGATCTTCAGTGGAATGCTGGAGAGAAAAAGTTGACTGGTGGAGCCAACTGGCAGCCGAAAGTGGCCCCTGCAACCTGGTCGGCAGGTGTCCCGCCAAGCGCACCTTTGGTAGGTAGCCACCAGAGGCTAGCGCAGGGCAGGCAGTTTGCTGGTTTCGAAGTATATAGAGCAGGGCACATTTTGCTTGCTCTGCCTCTGACATTGTACTTTTTCATCCACATTGAAGAAATAGAACCAAAATGCAGTATTTACCAAAATTCAAATTCTCTTGACTTCACATTTAGTAAAGATTATGACCTATTTTTTACTTTAATTATTTCAAAATAGTATTCATGCTTCCTAAGATATTAGTTCTATATTTGTACAATTATGGAAATGATTTTTCAAAAGCACTTAATATTGATTATTATCTATATTTTATCGCATTTTTTGCCCAAATTTCCTGACTGTCTTGATAAGTAATGAAAACTTTTTTTCTTACCAGAAAGATTGGGCAGTGTTCTATTGTGTAAGTGAACTTTTGTTTTAAAATCCTATCAATTTTGCTCACCATTTTTTAAACTACTAACACCATCTCTTCTGTAAGATTTAAATAGGTTTCATTTCTGTATATTAAATCTCTATTAATATATTAATACCACCATTCACTCTGTGAAAGAACCTGTCACCAGAAATTGACTAATTATTATTTTGTGAAATTTGCCACCACAAAAAGGATGTTTCCCCTGGTTGCAAAATATACTGTTTTCCCATATATGCCCCATGTTTAGCAAAACTAAGCTAGTCACTGTTTCCCGAGCTTGCTCATAATTTTTCCCCTTTGCTTACCACCTTCGCCTGTCTAAATTTAGGACACCAGTCTTGGAGCTTTCTTGATGCCGCTCTGTCATGTTGCCTAAACTAATTCCTAACCGTCACCCACTGACCCCAACCAGACAAACATGCATGGAAGTGAATTAATATAAATTAGAATATTAATGTTTTAGGTAGACTCCAAGAAAAACATTGTATACCTGAAATTAATTTAAATATCTGAGTTTTGAAATTTAGAACATATTGTCTTTTAAATAATTTTATAAATAGTAATGTTTTTTATATTAAACATTTTTTAGCAGTTTTATAAATAAAAATAAGTTGACACTAGTCCAAAAAAGGACTTTTGAACCGAAATTTACCACCAAACAGTACAATGGTATTAATTGAATTAGAGTTTGTGCTGTAGTTTCCATAGGAAAATGCATTCTGTGCTCAGACTTGGGTTCTTGAAACTGGTTTCCTCTGGTCTCCCCACCCTGCCCCACGCTGTTAGTAAGAGAAGAGAATTTCAGGGACTAATGTTCTCTGCATTTGGTGAGTTCAAAGTCTGAAAGCACTTAATTTTAAAAAGTGATTTCTAACCAATAACAAGGAGAAAATTGCCTGTTGTGTCTAGGTACTTATCTCTTTAAGGCTTTCTCTGCATTATTTAAAAACAATGCTTAAGAGGACCAGTTTTGTATTTAGCTCTAAAATAAAGAGTTCCATTTTAATTTTTACAAAGGATATGTCAACGCAAATAATCCATAATCAATCTATAAATCAAAATTGGAGTGAGTTTATTATGAGCCAGGTCTGAGGAGTTTAGCCCAGGGCCTGCCTTCCCCAAGGAAGGAAGGACCCCAAAGAAGTGGGGTGTACAGAGTGGTTATATGCCATCTTGGAACAAGGAGCTTATATCACGTATGACAGGAAAAGCTCTTTTACTGCTGTCATGAGATGCTTAGCTGCCAAACAGGTCAGTGGTCAGCAGGTCAGTGGTCACAAGGTGAGCACAGCAGGTCGGTAATTAATCCTTAGTTTCCGGGAAGAGATGCTTATCCTTAGAGAAATGCCGATGTGGGGGAAGCTACATCCCTGTCTTTAAGGGCATCGTTCTTGTCTTTGGGACATAGTAAATGTCTAAAGCAGATGTACAATGCATGCTCAACAGGCCACATCAGGCCCTTTTGGAAAAACAAGGTCAGGATGAATTCCTTTCACACTAAGTGGCTTCCTCAGGTACTCCAGTGTATCCTATTGCTTTTCATTTATTTATCAGATACTTAGTAGAAAACTATGTATCTCTTTTAAACTGACCTATGCCTAGGATGATCATATAATTTATTGACCAAACCAGGACTTGTTTGAGGGTGAAGGGAGCATAATTATTGCCCTAGGACCCCAGGCATTTACCTGTGACTGGTGGCCCCAAGGCTGAGACCATAGCAGGTAGCACTCCAGGCCTAGGGGGCTGCATTCCATTGGTAGATACAAAAACATTTGAGAGCCACTCTCTTGTTGGGGGTAGAGGGAGAGAAATTCAATAAATGTAAATAAAATCTGTAAAGAAAGAAGAAGCTTCTTTAGAACTGATCTTTTAAATCTGTTAATGTTACATTATTGATGTGAAATCTCACAATTCATATTATCGTTACCAAATTAAAGGAATTAGTTTTCCTCTTCTCATCTGTGAAAAATGAGAGAGGCCTTATGTGCTGCTTGGAGGAGTTTATTCTTTAGTGATGTTGCCCGTAGCAGGTTGAAGGTTTTCGTTGTTTTTCTAACAGGTTGGTTTCAGGACAGCCACCATGGCAGCAGAGTCTGGGGTGGAGTGAAGAGGAGTGGAGGAAAGGCGGGGAGAGTACTGGTGCTGAGTGATCAGCTGTAGGTCAAAAACAAAAACAAAAACCGAGCCGGCCCCCTGGCGGTGTGGTTAAGTTCATGCGCTCTGCTTCGGCAGCCCAGGGTTTCGCCGGTTCGGATCCTGGGCGTGGACATGGCGCTGCTTGTCAGGCCATGTTGAGGTGGCGTCCCACATCACACAACTAGAGGGACCCACAATTAAATGTGCAACTATGTACTGGGGGGATTTGGGGAGAAAAAGCAGGAAAAAAAGAAAAAGAAGATTGGCAAGTTGTTACCTCAGGTGGCAATCTTTAAAAACAACAACAACAAAAATAGTTGAGAGCCTGAGGTGAAGGTGGAAAGGAGGAGAAAGAAAATCCTCAGGCAGAATCCACACAACTAGACATCGTTGTGAATGAGGCCGCCAAGACAGTGGTTACTCAGGTTTCTCCGTGGGGCAGTTTGCTAAATAATGAGGCTGTTAACCAAGAAGGAGAAGAAGGGAGAAGCACTTTAGATGTAGTATGAAGTTGGAGACCTTCTTTGCCCATCACCTGCACCCCACCCACGAGATCAAGATTTAACTGTAGAAGGTTAAGAATTCATCAAATGCTGAATTAACAACTGTTTGGCTTCTTCAGAACAAGCTGCCAGCTGTGTGATTGGCAGGCACCATCTCTGAGACTGAGGTTAATATTCTCACTTTTTAAACCCCTAAACTCATCTTTGTTATGAAGCAAAAAACTTTAAGTTGTTAGTAATTAAACTCCAGAAAGTTAAAGACGGTAGTCTTTAGCATAAAGTATCCACAGCCGCTGTGGAAAGAGAAATTAGAACAACAGAAAGAATTCATTAGGAGGGCAGAGTTGCGTATAGTTCTGTTTCTTTTGTTCATTCTCTTTAACCTTTTAGGCAACAATATAAAGGCTCCCACATGGAGAGTTCTTTCATCTTGCTTAGCTCTCACTTGGTCTTATATGTGGTCTATGTAAGTTCACTGCCATTTAGACCATTTACAGCAAAGCTCCCTTAACAAAGCCTTGGCTTTGCTTTTACTTTTACTTAAGAAATCTTTCTGAGGGCCTCTGGCTTTCTGAGACCTCCCCCCACCCCACCCCTTCCTATTTTCCTATCTCTTAAGATATGTTTGAGTTTCTTTTTCTAAGAATATTCAAGAAAAAGAAAAAAGACAGCAGACACTTGTGCTTCCGAAGCAGCAAAGCGGTGTTTGCAAATCTCCCTGGTGGTCCGCAGGCCTTTCCTTCTGAGAAGGAGATGAAGGGGCAGATGTGGGCGAGAGGGTCCATTCGCTGCCTTTTAAAGTTGTTATTGATAGACAAGAGCTAAGATTACTTCCTCCCCTTGTTTCAGATTTCCCTCAATTGCTTGGAAGCACAGCTATAAAAGTTTTGAGATCGCAGAACCCACGTTATATCTAAAAACCTTAACAGGACTTGAATATTTGAAGTATGTCTGCTGGCAGGGCTCTATCATCCTGGCCATCAGGAGCCCTGTGTTTCCAGGGTTACTTAGTTCTATTTTCCAATGCACCACAGACCTGTTAAGTTTCCACCATACGAAGTGGGAAGATAATTGCAATTCAGAAATAAGTGCATTTTATAGGAAGTCACAGAATCCACAGTTCTTGCCCTGAAAGCAACTCGTCTTTATATGCCTGTAGATAAAATATTCAGTTAAGTGTTGAAAAAGGAAAAAAACAAAACAAAACCCTTAAGATAAATAGAATTTGAGGAATATATTATTAAGAATTAATCTACCATGTGAGCGAAATGACAGACTCTTTAGATTATTTGACCCATTTATTTGGTCAGGAATTTCTGCAGGTTCTTTTATTTTGCTAACTAGTAAAAACTTTTGTTTTTATACCTTTAAGTCCTAATGATAAATTTGGGTCTGGTAAATAGCCTGCCACCTAGCCTGTTGAAATGATGAGTAAAGAGTGAGTCTGAAATATAACCCTTGTACTGTAGGGAGGAAAAATAACTTTCTGTCTAGCCTCCTGAGTTTTTGGCTGAGACTCCTGTAATAAAGGACGGATTGACAAGAGAAAAACAGAAGTTTATTAATGTGTATATCTCATGTATAGATGGGAAATAACCAGGAAAAACTCAGAGGTGAGCTAAGCCGCTGGCTTAAATACCACCTTCAGCCGAAGATGAAAGAAAGAAAGGAGTGGGAGGCCAGTTATGAGGAGGTTCCAGGAGAGGCAGGGTAGCAAAGGTAAGGTTTGTTATGTCGGTTTAAGTCAGTGCCTTCTCCATGGATCAGATTCTCTTGTGATTTAGTCATCTTTCTCTTCTGGGGCAGAGAGGGAGACACCCTTAGAAATGAGATTTCCTTTGTAAAAGTAAATGGCCCTTACGAAAGTGTAACTTCGACTCTGTTTGCAGAGCTTCTCCTGCATCTGCTGTTTCTGAAATTAATGAGCTCAAAAAAATCCTTATGCCAAAGAGGCATGTCTAGGGGTGGCATCATCTGCTACCCTTCGGTATTTTCTTTTTTTATTTTAATTTTTTTTGAGATAATATTCACATAATGTTAAATTCACCATTTTTATAATGTTAAGGTGTATAATTTGATGATTTTTAGTATATTTATGATGAGAAACCATCACCATTATCTAATTCCAGAATATCCCCGTCACCCTGAAAAGGAACACAGTCACTTCCCATTTCCCCCCTCCCTGTCCCCTGGCATCCAGTAATTTACTCTCTCTTTCCATGGATTTGCCTACTCTAGGTATTTCGTATAAACAGAATCATGTAATACGTAGCCTTTTGTGCCTGGCTTCTTTCACTTGGCATAGTGCCTTCAAGGTTCATCCATGTTGTAGCATGTATCAAT